ATTTTTGATTAATGCTATACTTCATTGAAAGCAAAAATATATTCGATTTTATAACAATGCTTTTTTATTTTATCTCATGGATAATTTTTTTTACCAACATTATATTTTTATTGTATTAAAAAAACAGAACGTATCTAGTTAAAACAGAATAAAAACTAAAAACATATGACAACAACAACGGAAACTTTATCTTTCACAGCCACAAAATACAAAACACTATGTATATAAGAAAAAAAAACTTAGTGAAATAAAACGTATCTATGATACAAAATTCCTTTTAGGAGGCAAACAGGTTGGTATTTAAGTAGATATAGAATAATTTAGATATACAGTAATTCATATTCATACATACTCCTTTTAAAATACATGGTGTTGTAAATTTTAGAAATAATATTTTTATAATATCATCTTACATTTTACACTCTCTGTTCTCTACTCTATGTCTCAAATCTCGATAAGGCAAATTGTTTTTTTCATAAAACCATCGCAGCTTAATTAAGCGATTCAACATATTCAAATATTACAATATACAAAACAGTTGTGAAAAAAAAAAGCAGCAATTTTATGTAATATCTTCTTAAATTTCACTTAAAAAAAAACTTGAACTACAATTATTTAGTATTCTTATCACGTAATTAAAATACAAACGCATATAAAACTCAAATGCGATAGTTTTTATTAAATTGGCAAGTGCTAGCAAATGCTCTCGTCACGCATGTTTGTAACTATCAGATGTTAAAAGACTGATAAATAGACAAACTCTATCACATTATCAGAAATTAAATACATTCTTAGTGTTAATATTAGTAAAATATACTAAAAATTGTAAATGAAGTACAGTTCTATAGGAATTTTCGGTAATCATGTATTAATTAATAATATATTAATCTAAAAATATAGATATGTGTCACAATGGTTATTGTGAAATCATTAGTTGACCTTACATATGTCAAATAAAATATATCCTATATCACTCCTGACATTTCTCTCTATGTTTGTGAAGTTGCATTATAATTTGTTCAACTATTCCGAAGGTTAGCTCAGACAGACAAAAATTAAAAAAAAAGTTATTCATGTCTTAATAGCATGTAAATAACCCCCTAGATATTACAAACAGACACTTCAATTTCATTTACATGTATAGATATAACGGCCACAACCACTATGACATATCTATATATTTTAAATATAAAAATGTTAGAAATATCATCCATGTGACATACCTTAAAAGTAATATAATCAACTGTTACTAATAACTGCTATAATTGTGTAAAAGCTCTAATTTAACGCTAAGCGGGAAGCGACGGTATTCAACCATTAACAGAGCACCTCGGATGGCGGTATACGCTGCAACAGAAATTATATATATATTAAATAAATGTAAACAAATGAATAAAAAGAGATATCTTTATCTTTAACAAACGTGAAAGATGGTGTTAGTTTAAGATAGGCAGAGCCAATATGTTTGATTTAGAAATGGCTGAAGTGTTTTTACGATACTGTGCATATCAATTATATTTTGTTGTTGTAAAGAAAGGAAAAGCCATCACAATAACTCCAAATAAATACAAGTCAAGTATTTTTTAAAACCGACAAAGATTGACCTACGCTGATGCAAGTGTTGTGGTTTATTTGTCGATTTATTTGTTTGGCGAACAGTACTGGGCCAGCGGGGTCTCCGTATGGAGCCGATCTTAAAGATAAGTACAGTGACAGACGATTTTAACCCTGACCTTATAATAATATACTTACAAAACCTAAAGATAAGCCTAATGGTTGGAACAGTAATAAAATCCAATTACTTAGAAAACCTACTGAAAGGAAAAAAAATATAACCTATGTCATTTCCAGAACTAAGATGAATTTAAGGACGCGTTTACAAAATTGATAGGTATAGAATCGAACTATTACATTGACACTGGTCACACACACAAGTGTACGCACGGTTAGCTGCGGGAATCGCAATCAAGTATAAACATTTTGATAATTTGAAAGATTGTTTTTTTTTTCATATTTCTTATTACCTACAAAAATATACTTAGATACGAAATATAAATGGCTGCTCCAGAGACAGCTAGGTACTAGAAGCCATCTACAGGGAGTGAGATGTTGGCTGTAGACTTTGAGCTGGTTTTGTTAGTTATGATAACTTCAGCTCCGAACTTGGTGAAGTGACTTGAAGGTATACTTGGGTGACTGCTACTGGAAGTCCGGGACGAGTAGTGCCATGTTAGTTACGATGAGACCTTACCTCCGGACTTGAAGGAATGCCCTGAAGGTGTACTTCGGTAACTGCTAGTGGAACTCCTGGACGAGTAGAACTAGGTATGCCAAGTTTGGGCTCGTTTTGTTAGTTACGATGAGACTTTACCTCCGGACTTGACAGAATGACTTGATGGTGTACGTTGGTGACTACTACTGCAACTCCTGGACGAGTAGAACTAGGTGTGTCGAGTTTGGGCTAGTTTTGTTAGTTATGACGAGATCTTACCTCCGGACTTAATGGAGAGACCTGATGGTGTACTTCAGTGACTGCTACTGAAACTCCTGGACGAGTAGAACTAGGTGTGCCGTGTTTGGGCTCGTTTCGTTAGTTATAACGAGACCTTACCTCCGGACTTGATAGAGAGACCTGATGGTGTACTTCAGTGACTACTACTGGAACTCCTAGACGAGTAGAACTAGGTATGCCAAGTTTGGGCTCGTTTTGTTAGTTACGATGAAACCTTACCTCCGGACTTGACAGAATGACCTGATGGTGTACGTTGGTGACTACTACTGCAACTCCTGGACGAGTAAAACTAGGTATGCGTAGTTTGGGCTCGTTTTGTTAGTTACGACGAGACCTTACCTCCGGACTTGACAGAATGACCTGATGGTGTACGTTGGTGACCACTACTGCAACTCCTGGACGAGTAGAAGTAGGTGTGCAGAGTTAGGGCTCATTATGTTAGTTATGACGTAACCTTACCTCCGGACTTAATGGAGAGACCTGATGGTGTAATTTAGTGACTACTACTGGAACTCCTAGACGAGTAGAACTAGGTATGCCAAGTTTGGGCTCGTTTTGTTAGTTACAACGAGACCTTACCTCCGGACTTGATAGAATCACCTGATGGTGTACGTTGGTGACTACTACTGCAACTCCTGGACGAGTAGAACTAGGTGTGGCGAGTTTGTTAGTTATGATGCGCAGTTACCCTTGAATTTGGTAATACCATTTATATTTTCCCCGACGTGCCTAAACTCGGCACACCCAGGTCTACTCTTTCAGGAGTTACGAAGTACACCATCAGGTCTCTCATCAAGTTCGGAGGTAAGGTATCGTCATAACTAACAAAACCAGCCCAAACTCGGCACATCTAGTTCTACTCGTCCAGGAGTTCCAGTAGTAGTAACTGAAGTACACCATCAGGTCTCTCCATCAATTCCGGAGGTAAGGTCCCATCATAACTAACTAAACAAGCCCAAACTCGGCACACCTAGTTCTACTCGTCCATGAGTTCCAGAAGTTAGTCACTGAAGTACACCATCAGGGCTCTCCATCAAGTGCGGAGGTAAGATCTCGTCATAACTAACAAAACTAGCCCAAACTCGGCACACCTAGTTCTACTCGTCCATGTGTCCCAGTAGTAGTCACTGAAGTACACCATCAGGTCTCTACATCAAGTCCGGAGGTAAGATCTCGTCATAACTAACAAAACGAGCCCAAACACGGCACACCTAGTTCTACTCGTCCAGGAGTTGCAGTAGTAGTCACCAACGTACACCATCAGGTCATTCTGTCAAGTCCGGAGGTAAGGTCTCGTCGTAACTAACAAAACGAGCCCAAACTTGGCATACCTAGTTCTACTCGTCAAGGAGTTCCACTAGTAGTTACCGAAGTACACCTTCAGGTCATTCCTTCAAGTCCGGAGGTAAGGTCTCGTCATAACTAACATAATGAGCCCAAACTCGGCACACCTAGTTCAATTCGTCGAGGAGTTCTAGTAGCATTCACCGTATACTTTCAGATCACTCCATAAAGTCCAAGACGAATAGGATTTATATATATTTATATATTATAAATCCCACTTGCTTTTAGCGAAACAAAACATTATAATAAGAATTTGTGATTATAAAAATATTTATATTATGTATGTATTATTTTACTTTGTCAGGTCATGTACCTATGTATCAAATTCGAATATTTTGTGTTTGTACAGCGATCTTTTTCAGCTACTGCAGGCGATACAGCGACCACCCGCGATAGCGGCCGAGCGCCGACTGTGGTTTCATCGAAATTTTTGTACAACAAATCAAAACAGACACTAAAAATAAAATAACCCTTATTGCAATCAATTAGGATTCATCCGTATCAGCAAAATATGTCAAAAAATAAGCATCAGTTTTTATTTTTTTTACGACTATTTGTGACATTTTGATAAAAAGTAATCACCAGCATTTTTTATTGAATATGTCTGCCTACTTACAGTATTTTTAGAAATCTTAATATATGTTGATAATAGAACAAAAAATGTACCGAAATATGAGCCGGTATCGTTAATTTTGTAGTAAATGGCTAGGGAAGATCCTTTTTACAATGTAAAAAACTATTATTTTCAACAAAACAGTTACCACCATTTTAAGATAAAGAACCATTCTATACGTTGTAGTTATTAGTTATATTGGATTTGGTTTGGTTTTGTCACAAAATGTACCGAAAAACAGCATAATTTGGCCCGATTTGCAAACGCACCCTTAAGGACATCCTATAGTTAAAATCCGTCAAGCCGTTTACGCTATAGAGTAGCGAGCGTGCCAAAGAAATAGAAATACATACATACATAAACTCGAAAAACATTACTGTCCTTCTGGGGCAGTCGTGTAAAAACAAACAAAGGAATTATCAGCCCAATTCATACAGCCATACCTGATAGGAAGTGATAGCTGAAGACCACAGACAGTATGACGGACGATATGACTGTAAAATGGATACGCACGTGTATGGCAAGGCGCGGTCACCATATAACAGGCGCCTTTAAATCTGGGAAGCCCGCCTCTCTGGCTTTCCAGTACTCGCCCGTGAACACCCACATCTCTTCACCGTTCTCAGTCACTTTGCTGAAATAAAAAAAATGTTTCGTGTGAAAAACTAGAGAGCCTCATAACTGGTAATGAGGCATTCTGTGTTAGTGGTTCAGAGGTGATAATGAATCAACATTTTGATTCTTAATCGAGGATAGACGTGTCACGGTGACGTGTGACGGGTCACAGCATCTATGGGTTTCTGCACGTGGTAGAGCCATGCTGCAGCTATATTGTGGTTGTAGCACGTATGGATCGGCTCGACCAGGGAAGGACCACGCTCTCACAAAATACCAGCGTAAAATAGCAGATCAATGCTGCTGTATTTCGTATGGTGAGAGTAGAGAACCGGAGACCCTTTTTACTGGAAACGAGGCATTCCATCTCAGTCCTCAGGGGTGACAACGCATCTGTGTTTTGATTCTTAATTAAGGATAAATATAGATGTCTATGAGCCGCAGCATCCACTTACCATTAGGTGGAGTGTGTGCTCGTTTGTCACCCTTATTCTATATAAAAAAAATTACTACTAGCTGTTCCCCGTGACTTCGCCCGCGTGTAATTTAGGTTTTTAATTTTGTGGCGCGGAACCCTAATTATTTTTTTAAAATATAAGTAGCCTAAGTTACTCCTTATAACATGAGCTATCTAATAGTATAAGTCCCGGTAAAATCGGTTCAGCCGTTTTGGAGATTAGCCGGAACAAACAGACAGACAGACAAAAATTTTAAAAATTGTGTATTTGTTATAAGTACCGTATATTATACTTTCATATGCAATTAGTAAAAAGCTGTTATTTTGACTTTATAAACAGACACTTCAATTTTATTTATATATTTCCGGATGAGTATACCCTAATGGTTCGAACCTTTCAAGGGTCTGTAGACGTTTATGTGGGTTTGTTAAGGGTAGTACCAAGTAGAAGGTTACTTATCAAATTCTATTTATACAGCTATAAGTCTAAAGCTATAAGCTATAAGTTATCGAACTCCAATTAAAGCCGCCTCTGTGTTGTCGAGCGTGATCATATGTGCGTGCGCGTGTGTGTGTGCGAGTGTACGAGCGTACTTGTACATTTGTGCGTGCGTGGGGGTGCATGTGTGTGTAAGTACGTGTAGCGTGCGTGCGTATGCATGTGTATGCGTGAGTACGTGCTTGCGTGCGTGTGAATGTGTGTAAGTGCGTGCACATGTGTGTTTGTATGCATGTGTATGTGCGTTTACGTGCGTGCGTTTGTAAGTGTGTGTGCGTGTATACGTACGTTTGTACAAGTGTTTGTGTGCGTGCGAGTGAATGTGAACGTGCGCGTGTCTCACCGGAACCAGGCCGGCGTGTGGTCGTGCGCGTCGCGGCGGCGCTCGCGCTGCGCCTGCTCGAGCTGGTGCTTGAGCTGCTCCGCCGTCTCCACGTCCCCCTCCTCTAGGGCGCGCTGGTCGGGCCTGCAAGTTACTCCTTGCTTTCACTATCCTTTATAAACTTCACACTACGACAATATTTCAATTTGCAATATTAAGGCAAGATTTGCTTCTTTCTCCCCTATAAGCATTAAGGCTAGTCCTCAGTAACAGTGTACCGTAAAACTAAGTAACTTTGTTACCAAGTTTACGGTAACTGTAGCGTTATTTTATCGGAAAAAATACACAGTAATCTGCAAAATATATAAAAATTTTTATAGAATAAGGGTGACAAACGAGCACACAGTCCACCTGATTGTAAGTGGTTGCTGTGACCCATACACATCTACATCTATCCTCAATAAAGAATCAAAATGCAGATACGTTGTCACCCCTGAGGTCTGAGATGAAATGCCTAGTTTCAAGTAAAAACTCTACACTGACCATTCTCCGGTTCTCTACACTGACCATTTTTAATGGAAAAGAGGCATTCCATCTTAGTCCACACGGGTGACAACGCATCTGCATTTTAATTCTTTATTGAGGATAGATGTAGATGTCTATGGGTCACAGCAACCACTTACAATCAGGTAGACCGTGTGCTTGTTTATTACCCCATACTAAAAAAAAAAAAACTTTAAAACCAGTAAGCAAGTAAAAATAAATAATATTTATATTTAAAATACTACTTTGTACGAAATTTTTCTTTGAAGCATTTGTTATAAAAATATTTGTAAATAAGAGGAGATATATTAACTTTGGACTCTCAATTAATTTACGAAAATATAATGTATGTACACAAAAATAAAAATAGATTTAAAACAAGTGGTAAAATTAAAAATATTGTATCAGTTTCTCTAGTCGTAAATAACTAAATAAATAGTCTTATTTGCTTTGGAAATCTGTAGGAGTGTATCGATGGGGTGGTTGGGGTGTAATAATAATTAAAACCAAAATTTCATATCGGTTATTTTTTTATAATAAATGTTCAAATTGTTTGTCCAATCCAATGAATAACGGTAAAGATTCAATCTTTTTTCGATTTTTAAAAAAAATTATACCCGACTACATCAAAACATTGCTGGGGTTTTACATAAAAAAGATTAACTTGAACTTGTAATTCTTGAGTTTGAAAATAAAAATATTAGTATCGATATAATATGCATTAGTGAAACCTTTATGAAACAGGGTACAGAGTCTAATTTAATGCTTACAAATTACAAATTAGCAACGGCTTTTTCAAGACCAAATCAGTTAGGAAAGAATTAGATTATCAACCCATAAAAAACCTACCCAACCCGCTAATTTATACATTTGAATTTTGTGTTATTGAGATTGAAGTTACACTTGGCATTTGCGTCGTATGTATATATCGGATTCAAAATACTAATATAAAATTATTTTTTGAAAATTTTAATCAACTTTTAAATAAACTTACTAAGAAAAATAATAAAAGAATTATAGTTTGTGGAGATTGGAAGACAGATATTTTGAAAAATGATATTAATTCTAAAAAACTTAATGCCATATTATACAAACATAACTTAAATAACCACATTTGTTTGCCAGTAATCTTCCTAATGTACAACCAAATATTCACTATTTAGCGCTATCTGATCATGAAACTTGCCCAACAATAACTTTTCCGGCAAATATAAATATAAGTCATATTAGGAAATCGTTTTGGTTTGAGGAAAAAAGAGACCTTAGTAATGAAAACGTGAAAACATTTGTGTCCTATATTTCAGCTCTATCATTTGCTGTATATGAGGCCGAGGATACTAACTTGGCTTTCAACTACTTTCATGATACTCTGACCTTATTTTATAATTTGTGTTTCCTTAAAATAATTGCAAAAATAACAAATAAACCTATTAAAAACAAATGGATTACAAGGGGTATTAAAAAATGTAGCATTAATAAAAAACGTTTATATTTGAAATACCGTCTTTCAACAGCAATAATACAACACGTGTCTAAATACCTAACTTATCTACTTAACCTACTATTTTGCCACTGTGCTTATCTCCACGTAGCCACTTTAATCCGAATTTACAGGTTAAATAACCCAAATAACTGGTTCGATTCCCCGCTAATGAAGAAATACTTAAATGAAATGTAACCAAGGTTGGAGTCATGCGTTTTTATTCATCGTGTAGGTATGTTTATTATTCTCATGTATTCAGTTATGTACCTATTCAGATTAGTCTAGTACTAAGTTATTTAAAAAAAAATAGTTATGAAACAGCTTACTGCTCTAAATCCTCCGTGGTCTTATGAGATGCGGCTCAAATTGTGCTCCATTCATTTCAAGGCAGATTTGGGTGCAGGCGGGGCATCATCGTGTGGTCTTCGACACAGTCCGTACGTAGTTTCTCGAAAGCATCCACGATCCTTTGGCGCATTTCTTTAGCACTATCACATTCACTATTAAAAACCCTTTCTTTCACATACATTTAGGTATCGCTGTCCGTTCAGTCGCTCTGGCAGAAACACTGGTCCCAGTATGCGATCCTTAAATAAACCTGCCCATACATTAACCGACCATCGGGTTTGGTGCCCGGTTTGTCGAACAGCGTGCGGGTTAACCTCTGAATACACGTGTGTATTTCTTCGGTTCCACAGGCCGTTTCTGGTAAATGTCGACTCATCCGTCCAGATAATGTGCTCAATGGAACCAGGCACACGTTGTTGCTGGTATAATAACCAACGGCAGAAAACTCGTCGGCGGTCGTGATCGCCGGGAACTAAAGCTTGCACTTTGTGCAATTTGTATGGGCGCATTGGTTACGCTTCAACACTTTGTGCACTGCACAGTATGACACACTTGTACCATCCCGACGTCTTAACAATTTATTTAGCGATACTTCGTGTACCTAGGTTCGGATACCTAACATGTTGACCACTATAAACGTACGCGTTAGGCATTATTAAAACAAAAAAGAATCCAAAAACGTAACAAAAACTTTAATATCAACACGTAATCACAAGTAAATTTATTAAACAAAACGATTGAACTGTCGCTCGCGCACGCGTGTACAAAATCAACACGGAACTGTCTCAAAAACTAAAACGAACGAACCCCGTCAAGGTTGAAACCTACTGCGTCACAAGCGTGAGGCGACAGGGTTAGGCATTCTGCCGTCATAATAAAAAAGGAAGTAACTAACAAAAACGTAAAATGGAAATAAAAAATAAATTGATGAATTTTTCTTTCAGACCCCGTGTCTAAAGTATATTAAAAGGTATCTATATTGAAATATATACGTAGAGACATGAAGATTTTAAGGACGAACTTATTTTTTTTTTTAATTTGTTTATTTATTTAAATAAAACGAATTTTCCTTTTCATCTTAGATTAAAAAAGTACACCTGGCAACACAAAAACATCGAAGGAAAGACGCATATAACTATTTGGGTCTTCCCAACCTAATAAATAAAACAAAACTACCATTCATTTAACATTTTTACATATTTTGGAAAGGTCATTTGAAGTTGAAAGGACGCTAATAGTAATTTACTACTTTTTTCTTAGTAAATATTAGAAAAGCATTGGTAGTGAGACACAAAAAATAACAACCCGCAACTCTTGAGTAATGATTTTAAAGGGGATATCATACAAGACTTACTACGATAATAATTAAAAATTAAAACATTTGTACAACCGACTTTAATATAAATAATTAAGGATAACTCAAAAACTATTGGTCTGACCTCGATCAAATTTATATGGGACCACATGTGAAACACCAGCTCTTAATAATAAGATATGAGCTCTTAATAATAAGATATAAAATAATAAGACAAGAATAATTTAAATTTAAGTAATCGATGCAAATATTGTTAAAGATGACGTAGCAACTGGTTAAATAAGTCTTTTCTTTTATGTTGAATTTGTATAAGTCTTTTCTACTAATAAAATGTCATCTGTGATCAACAGCTACGTCTAAAATTCTGACGATAATTTCTAAAATATTGATATTAGTGAATATTAAAAAAAATTAGTAGATGCGTCTTCTTATCATGAGTCGAATGGTAATTTATTCGAAAATTGTTAGATGCGCCTTTTTTTCTTATGACTGCAGCATTGTTTCATACCGAGCTAGATACAGGTCGACAGCGGAGTGAGTGTGGGTACAGTCGCGTTCTAAAGTACTACATGGTATTGGGCTATTGTTTTATAATATTATAGTAATTAATTGTTTTATTGTAGAATCATAATAGGTGTTTTACTAGCTACTTAGAACTTTGGAAGAGGTGGGAATTAAAAATAGATAATGTTTACTTGAGCATTGTTTTTTATTTCTATCGTCAAATATAAAGTAGTTTGTAACAAAAAAACTTAAGCTAAGGGTGACACGCCGTCCATTATGACGTCTTGGGTCACATGGAAGCCAGATGTTGATGGTGTGTTGGTGTTACTGGATGCTACTTCATCATCACTTTCATCTTCGCTAGAGCTTCCGTCATCAGGTCGATCACATGGTAATTTTTTCGGTATTCTTCCTCAACAATTTTAACTTTACTGCACAATTTTCCCCATTCACCTTCTCCTATCATATTTACCTTTTCGTTCACTAGTTTAGTCATAAAACAATAGATATAAATAATTTTTTTTCCTTCCTTTTTAAAACATCGTCGCGAGTCGCAAAGTAAGCTGTGTATGCGACTGTATTTTTGGAGCGAACAAAGCGCGGGAACCAATAGCATGCAGGCACAGTAATACTGGCCAATATGTGATAAATCGCTCAGTGTCCAAGTTCAAGGCCAGCGTTCTTTTTTCACCGTTCGCGCGTACATTAACCTCCATTAGTCAGGTGATATCAATTCAGTTTCCACTGCTGGTTTTATGTTTCAGTATTTTCATGATTTTTTTTATGAAATTATCGTTTCATTTAGCTGTACTAACACGATGGCGCGTGAATAAAGCTAATAAAACGTTGTAAAAATATGTTTTTATTTTCATCAGGATCAAATTTATTTATGACCCATGATCAAAGGTATACTTGGTGCTGTCGCCTGTCTTAGTTTTCGGGAGCGTTCCAAAAATACCCTGTATTACAAATGTTTAGGCCAAATCGTAACACTTAAAACTTGCAAAAACGCTCGTCTCGGGCGATAAACCTGTTTGACAGCTTAGGCCGGCGGGCATTCGTTTTTACACGCGACGGCCGTGTGAACATTCTGGAACAATCAATGGTCCGCGACGGCCGTGTCGCTTAGATGTCGGGAAGTTACGTTAGAATCGTTAGGTCGCGTTAAGGCCGCCTCCTTTGCGTTGTCTTATTTCGTTCGTATACGTGACAACGAGGCTTATCTTGGGTTTTGAGTGATTAACTTAACTTTGATTGCCATTAATTTGCATCTACGAGTTGTTTGTGTGGCATTTTAATATCGTAATAAGACATTTTGCTTTGTCGGGTGGAACGCTAAAACTTTGTGACCCGAGAGGAGATTGCGTTCGTCTTCGATTATAGTTTTGTGCTAAGTGACGTTAGACTTGAGTTCAGATAACGGTGAATGCCCACTGGAGTGATCGAACATTGTGGAGCAGAGCAACGCATGTAGGTTTGCTGCCCGATTACATCGGTGACGTCAGGTCACATGTACACACTTTCTTACACCACTTACACGAACCATTTACTTACCCCTGACGGTACCTTGTGGTCGACCCTACCTCCGGAACTCGGTAAGTTTGTGTTTGTTTATCCAGCCACTACATAATAATTATCCATAGGCCACTTGGGCCCGAACTCTCTGGTTGCCCGTCGAGTGTGTTACTCATGGGCCCTAGTACAGTCGACTTCTGTCGGGGCAACTGAGGGCCGTAACAACAAATATACAAAAATTTTAAGGATTGCATTCAGCAAGCTCAAAAACTTGACAATACACGCTACCTACTCAATTCTAGCAACAAAAGTAGGGCAGCTTGTCGAATAATAAAAAACGTTAATAATGGCAGTTAGTAATGACAAAACTACAATAACTACTAGTGACAATACATATTATCAGTCAGATAAAATAGCGGATGTGTTTAAAAATTACTTTATAAATTTAACTAATGACATTAAAACAACAAATACAATAACAACCAATAATGACTATGCATCTAAATTGACATTTTATCCCAATCCTATTTATCTAGTTCCTATAAACAACACTGACATTATAAAAATAATTAATTCCTTAAATTCTACAGGTTTTCTGGGAGATTATTGAAAACTCTTTAAAATCCGTATATCTCAAGACCTGTTTATTTAAGGCAATACATATCACTCATATGTCAAATTTGTAGCATTTTGACTCCTCTATCACGCCCTGCCAGGAATTCACAGAAAACCAGCGTAAAATAGTAGCTTAACGCTGCTGTGTTTCGTATGGTGAGTGTAGAGAACCGGAGACCCTTTTTACTGGCAAAGAGGCATTCCATCTTAGTCCTCACGGGTGACAACGCATCTGCATCTTGAGTCTTTATTGAGGATAGATGTAGATGTCTATGGGTCACAGTAACCACTTACCATCAGGTGGACTGTGTGCTCGTTTGTCACCCTATCCTATAAAAAAAATTGTTGAGTTCCCAGTAACCCTGTATTTTTTTATTTTGTTTTTTCTGAGTGGCAAAAGTGCCTCCCTCTAGTACCTGCGGAGTTATTCATTACTTACTGGACAACCTGTATACGCTTTTATAACAAAATCCCAGAAAATATACAAAATTTGACCACCTCGAAGTTCAAAAACTTTATTCAACAAAGTTTGCATAAAAAGGGTTATTATATGGAAATTATGAATGATAATAACCCTCGGGAAAGAGGTGATCGTTATTAAGCTGTTTTCAATTTGTTTTGTGTAGTTAAATATAAATGTTACTGTTATTTTTTTTTAAAAAGTTTCTGGTGTGTTCTTTCCAGGACAGAGGTTTTTTTCCATACCAGTGGTAAAATAAAAAAAAGAATGACTTTCAATAAGTTTTATTTATAATCTATATTGAGAAAAAAAGTTTCTCTATCTGTTTCTTTAAATTCAATTAAATGAGAAAAATTATCAACATAAACAGATTTATGGGCATTGCTTTAAATTAGATATAGTATAGATTTAATACGTGGTTTGAATAGGAGGCACATAAATTTTAAAAATAACTAAATTTCAAAAAAGTAGTGACATACCTAAGCCTGGTGTCGGTGTGAGGTAGCACGTCCTTCATGCCAGGCTCCAGCTCGTTAAGCTCCATGGCGAAGCGAGTGAACCCGTAGTACAGCTCGTTGTCCGGTGGCATTGCACCTGTTAATGATCAATTCGTATCATATCAAAATATGTTCTAACCACTGACGATGCGCACATGATAATTCATTCATTTATTAAGTTCATACATTTAGAAAGTTATATTGTCTATTATTATTTACGCAACAATGACTTCCGTCCCAAGCTCGGCTATATCCTTGGCCATAGTAGAGCCATGCTGCAGCGATATTAGTAGTATAGTTGTAGCACGAATGGGTCGGCTGGACCGGGGAAGGACCAAAAGAATACCAGCGTAAAATAGCACCCTAACACTGCTGTGTTTCGTATGGTGAATGTAGAGAACCGGAGACCCTTTTTACTGGAAAAGAGGCATTCCGTCTTAGTCCCCACGGGTGTCTATGGGCCACAGCAACCATTTACCATCAGGTGGACTGTGTGCTCGTTTGTCACCCTATACTATAAAAAAAAGTTAAAATTTTCCCGTTGACGACTACGTATCGTCAGTATATCACACGATATTAACATCAGCGGGAATATCGAACCGCAGAACTGCATCATACGCGAGGTTCCGTAGAAGTGACCCTGTGGTACCCCACGTTTAATCTTCCACCGGATGTTCCTACTATCTTGCCCCATGTACAAAATGTACTTATTGTGTAGGTTATCCCCGATTAACCCTTTTAGGTAGGGAGAACTTAATGACGTAATAGTGCTCTCTTGATTGCATCCCAGGGTGAAGAGTCAAAGGCGTTGATGATATCAAGACCTATCGCCAAAGCTACTTTGGCGATAAGTCTTCTCTACGAGGTTTGCTATTGTGTGGTGTGTCAGCGTAAGTGTGGCTGTGGGTAAATGCATCTGTCGTGGAGGGTCAGCGTCAGTGCCGCGGTGGGTCAGTGTCAGTGTGACGGTGTGTTTGTGCAGAGGGGAGTTAATGTCAGAGTTGCTGTGTGTCACGTGTTGTACTATCTGTATTATTGTGCAAGTGTGCGGTGTGTTAATGTCCTTGTATTAGTGTCATAGGTATTAAGTCAATGTTAGCGAGCAGTGTGTCGTGAGTCAAAGGCGGGATGTCGTGTCAGTGTGCGGTGAGTCAGTGTCAGTGTGCGGTGAGTCAGTGTCAGTGTGTCGGTGTGAGTGTGCGGTGTATCGAGGTATCGAGGTATCGAGGTGAGCTACCGGGTCTCCACAGACAGCGCGCGGCGGGCGGCTCCCCGGCGTAGAGCGCCTCGGACCAGCGGCCCGACAGCCGCAGTCGCCCGCCCGCCCACGTCACCGCACCACGTACTTCATGCTTGCCGCTCGACCACGAACTCGCCTGAACAAATTATGCTTGTTGAAAGAGAAGTAAGTAAAACGATGTTTAAAATACGAATAGAAAGGTTGAACGAATGAGTTTATGTATAACGGGAATCGCTCTAGATCGCTTAGCTATGGAGAAGACCATAGTCCAGAGATGAATTCACAGGCACATTAAAGAGATCACCCATCCATAACAACACGGAGTTTTGTCCAAAAAAATATATTGCATCTAACTTAATAAGATTTGTAAATGACGTAGCTATATACATAGATTTCAATAAAGCTTTTAACTTAATAGATCACTTTCTCTTAGTGAAAAAAAAAATCAGCGCTGGAAATTCATGGTTCATTGTTGCAATGGTGTGAACCATATTTACAATATAAGTCTCGGTCAGTCATCATTCACGGCTACACTTCAAGAATCAAACTCACAGACACCAACTGGTGTACCGCAAGGCTTAAAGTTGGGTCCCTTGTTTTTCATAATTTCTAAAAAGATTCTAGAAGATTCAAAGATAATGTTGCAATGTCTATTAAAAATCAATCAAATCAAATTTGGACATTTGTAAATTTTGTGACCTTTAGTCAAAGAGTCGCTACTGGTGGACAAGAAATTACAGATTAATTACTAAGTACTTCCAGGCTGTGTACAATTCATCGAAAGACATTTATACGTGGTAGAACCACGCTGCAGCTATATAATCGTAGTAGCAATAATGGGTCGGCTCGACCGGGGTAGAACCACACTCTCACAAAATACCAGCGTGAAATAGCAGCTTAATGCTACTGTGTTTTGTACGGTGAGTGTAGAAAACCGGAGGCCCTTTTTACTGGAAACGAAGAATTCCATCTTAGTCCTCAGGAGTGACAATGCATCTACATTTTTATTCTTAACTGATGATAAATGTAGATGTCTATGGGCCACAGCATCCACTTACCATCAGGTGGACTGTGTGCTTGTTTGTCACCCTATTCTATATAAAAAAGGCATGACACAGAATTTTGTGTAATTTCAAAAAGTGAATGCACATTAGCGTGAAGTAATTGTAATTGTGCATGAACAGAGTTTGCAGTATTTTGCAAGCTTGCCGCTTCAGATTCAATACCTAATAAGTTTTTTTTAAGTACTGTGCAAAAAACGTTATCTAGATCTCTAATCACATAATAATATATACTATATAAAAAATCTTTTAAAGGTGTTCAATTCATAAGCGAAGTTTCAAATATATTTGACCATAGATCTGTATTAATTATTCATGCATTAGGTAAAGTTTTAGATGCTATAGTCCAGAGATGAATTTACTGGCACATTAAAGAGAAAAGCAAAGGACAGAGGATATAAATATGTGTGGGTGCGTAATGGCTAAGTGTTTATTAAGAAGACTGATGAGAGTGAATATATTTTGGTAAAAAGTTTGAAAACCCTGAAAAATCTTATGTAAATTATTCTGGTTGTTCTTTGTTTTTTATGTGGTATGGCATAAGATTCGATACGCTCAAATTGTACTATCAAAATTGTCGTGGTCTTAACACCAAAACACACGGTTTCTGTAATCAAATATTATGTAACAATTATGATATAATAATACTCACTGAGATCTGTTTTGCCAGTAGTACCAAGAGGGAGGGGGGGGGGGGGGGTTTAATAGCAGTATCGAAGCGTATGAACGCTTGGAAGCCGGATCTGGAAGATCTTGGAAGAGTTTTAGTCGGTGTGCCAGCATCACATTCAATTGATCAAATTGCCTTGTGTGCCATTTATTTACCATCTCTTATAAAAAAGCAACTTATGAGAAATTTTATGGCACTTGTACTAGCGTCCTGGAAGAACAGTGTCTACATTGTATAGTAGGTGATTTTAATCTGTTTTTCATGTTAGAGCAAAGAGCAAAGAGTCAGTTTTTTTTTATAGGAGAGGGGGCAAACAAGCATGCGGCTCACCTGATGGTAAGTGACTACCGCCGCCCATGAACAACTGCAACACCAGGGAGGGAACTGCAGATGCGTTGCCGGCCTTTTAAAAAGGAGTACGCTCTTTTCTTGAAGGTCCCTAAGTCGTATCGGTCCGGAAAAATCGCTGATAGTAATCGATTCCACAAGGAAGTCGTGCGAGGAAGAAAACATCTTCTAAATCGCACAGTGGTGGACCGCCAATCATCCAGATGGTGTGGATGGTATTGGGAGTTCTGCCGCGATGTGCGTTCGTGAAATTTGGCGGCTGGCATTAATCTGAACAATTCCTCAGAGCACTCCCCATGGTAGATGCGAAAGAAAATGCAAAGGGATGCAACATCTCTTCGCAGTGCCAATGAATCGAGCTGATCGGAAAGGGCTCGGTCGTCGACGATTCGAGCCGCTCTGCGCTGGATGCGGTCAAGTGGAAGGAGCTGGCACTGGGCAGACCCTGCCCAGAGATGGGAACAGTATTCCATGTGAGGCCGAAGGCATGTGTGCGCCTTGTAAAGTTGCAGGCGGTGTGCCGGCATGAAATACTGTCCCGCTCTGCTGAGCACGCCAAGCTTTTTAGAGGCCAATTTGGCCTTCTCTTCCAAGTGACCACGAAACTGCACGTCACTCGATATGTCGACTCCGAGGATTCCGATACTGGCTGAGGCAAGAAGGGGAGTGCCTTGAAACTGAGGAGATACGACAAAGGGGTTCTTTTTAGCGGTAAACGCGCAAACTTGTGTCTTCTGAGGATTAAACTGGACTAGATTTAGTAGCCCCCAATCCGAGACTTTGTTCAGCAAAGACTCGACTTCAGACACAAGTTTGTTGGAGCTTATTAGATGGGGATACTGCAAAATTTGAGTTTCCACTGTTAGTTAGTCATTTATTGATTTTTTAAATATTAATGATTTGAAACAGTACAGTCGTATAAAAATTAAGAGTTTGGATAGATCACTTGATTTAGTAATTTCAAATTTACCTAACTGTACAGTAGAGCAGGCACTTTGTCCCCTCAGTAAAGTTGATAGGCACAATCCTCCAATCAAAAGGAGGATTTATGTCAATAGCTTAACATATGTTAAGCTATTAAATGATATTAGATTACCTTACAATATTGAAAACGTACAATTAAATTTCTACAGGGTTGACTATGATACGAGGGTACGTTTTTAAGTTGGCGGAATGGGTAGATAGGTAATAAGTGGGGACGTCGCTGAATTACGTGCTAATTGAGCAACTCATTATTAGTATAAATACCGGGTTTTATTGTAATTAGATCTGTTACGGCTCTCAGTTGCCCAGACAGAAGTCGACTGTATTAGGGGACGTACGCCATCTTCTGGCTTGGTGTCAAGTCCCTCCGGGCGTCCACTAGGCTATCAAAAAGTCCAACAAAGGTCAGCCAGTCGGAGAGGACCCCGGAGAACCTTGGCAGGTCCAGAGTTGGGAGTCGTCCCAACAGCTCCGGCTGAGTAGGCTGCTTCCGAGGGGACTCGGGCAGGCAACTCAGCCGAGCTTCACGCGCTTCATTAGCATACTTGGCCCCCGCCGCGATCAGGTCGTCCGTGAGCGAAAAAAATTGCTCGTAGTCCGCGAGGCAGGAGTCTAGGACTCTTTGTTCCGCATCCGAGGCCAGGAGCTCAGTGGTAGCCTCCTCCACTACGGCCCTTCGGTCCGCGACCTCCTCGAGCCGCTTCTCTAAACTATGGACCCGATCGGGTCGCCCTACCAAATTATGGGCGTTCGCGGCCCAGCGCAGCTCCGCCTGCAGGCGAAGCGCCGGTGGCTTGTGCGATGTCATCACTACTAAATAAAATTACTATTAAATTAAATCAAATACAAATGACACTACACGGCACAAATGCAAATTAAATTAACAAATAACAAATACAATTACTATTAAATTAAGTTAAATACAAATTACACTACACGGCAAGTACAAACTACCGTCGGTCAGCAAAGATGCTTCGCTGAAGCGACCGACCCTTCGGCAATTTAATCTACCTGCCCGAAATAGCTGACGCGTAGGTACCTAACCCTAACTAAACTCCTGCTTGCGCAGCCTAACGGCGTGGTTCTAACCACCTATCCGCTAACAAACAAAAGAAGCAAACAAAAGAAAAAAAATATTTTTATTACGTATTACGGCCGGGCGTGATTGTAGAAACAATCAACCACGCTCTGCTACCAGAAAATGTTACGGCTCTCAGTTGCCCAGACAGAAGTAGACTGTATTAGGGCCCATCAGTAATACACTCAACGAGCAACCAGAGAGTTCGGGTGCAATGACCTATGGATACTTATTATATATAAGGGCCGGATAAGCAAACACAAACTTACCGAGTTCCTGAGGTAGGGTCGACCACAAGGCGAAGTCAGGTGGTAAGTGAGGTGTATGTAAGTAGTGTGTGAAAGTGTGTAGATGTAACCTGACGTCACCGACGTATTCTGAGAGCGGACCCACAGGCGCCGCTTTCCTCCAAAATGTGCGATCCCTCCAGTGGGCGTTCACCAATTGAAACCTTCTGCTTTTATTTCACTATATTAGTTTATCAACTTTATTGTACATTTAATTAACTTCAAGTTTAACCAAATCAACGTTAATTCGAAATTAAAACAAGTGACACGCTGCACAACTTAAGAACGGTCGGTCAAAGTTCAATGTCCCAGGTTCACTTAGCACAAAATTATAATCATGAGCACGAATGCGATCTTTTCTCGAGTCACAAAGTTCAGCGTTCCACACGACAAAGCAAAATTCCTTCGCACGATATTAAAATGCCACAAAGCAACTCGTCGACGCAAATTAATGGTAATCGAAGTTAAATTAATCACTCAAAAATATTACAACAAGAATTATAACAAGACTCGCCTCGTTGCCATGTAAAACGTACGAGATTAGACGACGCTATTAGAGGCTATTCCGAGCGCAAATTTCCAGGCCGTCTCATCGACACCGAGGTCGCTAGCAACTAACCACACCGGCCGCGCCCAACCAACTGACCTCGCCCACGCGTCAGGCTACCGAGCGCTCGGCCGAGAGACCCGTACGGGAGAGGAGGCCGACGGTGACCTTTAAATTCCATCGGAAGGACATGCCGTGTCGTCTTGCGTGCGTCTTGAATCCAAGTTTTTAAAATGTTAATTATTTGGCCTAAACAAGATCATTAGTCTTTGAGTTATCGTCAACAAAACAAGTCAATCGGGAAGAAATTGTGAAATATGGAGAAAATCGAGTACCGTGCCGTTATAAAGTTCCTTACCAAGCGCGAAAAATCAGTTCAGACTATACTGGAAGAGATGTCATCCGTTTACGGAGATTGTCGTCCAAGTAAAACTATGGTTTACAAGTGGCATACCCTTTTTAAATAAGACAGAGAGTCACTTGAAGACGACCCACGGCCAGGAAGGCCGATCGAGGTGACCACTTCGGTAATTATTCAAAAAGTCGAAAATTAATATTAGAAGTTGCCCGCCTAAAGAAAAAACAG